TTCTAAATGATAGCTTTGCTGGGTAGAGCAATCTTGGTTGTAGTTCCATGTTTTTCATCACTTTGAATATTTCTTGCCACTCCCTTCTAGTCTGCAAAGTTTCTGTTGAGAAATCAGATGACAGTCTTATGGGTGCTCCCTTATAGGGAACTAACTGCTTTTCTCTTGCTGCTTTTAAGATTCTCTCTTTGTCTTTAACCTTTGGTATTTTAATTATGATGTGTCTTGCTGTGGGCCTCTTTGGATTCCTCTTGTTTGGGACTCTGTGCTTCCTGGACTTGTAAGTCTACTTCTTTCCCCAGGTAGGGGAAGTTTTCTGTCATTTTTTCAAATAGGGTTTCAATTTCTTGCTCTCTTTCTTCCCCTTCTGGCTTCCCCATAATGTGAATGTTTGGCCACTTGAAGTTGTCCCAACCCTATCTTCATATTTCTGGATTCTTTCTTCTTTTTGCTCTTCCGGTTGGGTGTTTTTTGCTTCCTCGTGTTCCAAATTGCTGATTTGATTCTCAGCGTCCTCTACTGTTGATTTCCTATAAATATTCTTGATTTCAGTTAGTATATTCTTCATTTCTGACTGGGCCTTTTTAATGTTGTTGATGTTCTAATTTTCTTGAAATTCTCATTAAGTTCCTTGAGCATCCTTTTAACCATTGTTTTGAACTCTGTATCTAGTAGTTTGCTTGCTTCCGTTTCATTTAGTTTTTTTCTGGAGATTTCTTCTGTTCTTTCATTTGTCTCTTTGATGTCTCTGCATTTTGTCTGCTTTCCTGTGTTTCTATGTACTAGGTAGAGCTTCTATGTCTCCTGGAATTGGTAGAGTGGCCTTGTATAGTAGGTGTCCCTTAGGGCCCGATGGCTCAGCCTCCCCAATCACCTGAGCTGGGCACTCCAGGTGCTCTCCTTTGTGGGCTGTGTGCACTGTCTTGTTGTACTTGAGCCTTGGTTGCTGTTGGCATCACTGGGAGAAGTTGATCCCCTGGCCAATCTGCTGTGAGGACCACCTTCAACTACAGCTGGAGAGCTTCTGTGCAGGAGACTCCTCTATGGAGCAGGATTTGCTTCAATGGGGCTTTGTTGTTCATCAAGTCCTCCCCTTGAGTGTGTCACTCGTGGATGTGGTAGGATTGTAATCCAGGGTGGTCGATGCTGACCACTGGGTGCACTGGCTCTGGGGCCTCCTGGGAGGTGCAAAGTCAGCCTCTGCCTGTGCCCTTCCCAGGGCCTCCCAGCATGAGCTACACAACAATCTGTAGGTGGCTGCTATTTTTGTTGGGCTTGGAGGTGCCCAAGAGAGGCCAAGCTGTGACCCAAGGTGGGCTACCTCTAGTGCCAGGCTTGAAGCCACTTATTGAGAGGTACAGGGCACATTGAGGCGAGCTGCTGTTTGAGAGATTTTAGGAAAGTCCTAAGCATGAGGCTAGAGAGGCCAGTTGTATGGAAAAGCCACTGGAAATGGCTTGGATGAACCTGCAAGTAGGGAGGGGTGGGGTCTCAGAGAATCACCAAGACCAGGTGAAATGTGTGAGCCAGGTTGATGGAGACTCAGATATGGCACCTGCCTGCTGGCTCTGTGGGGGAGGGCTCAGCAAAGGAACAATGACCTCTGCCAGCACTTCTGTCTGGGAGAAAGCTGCCCCTCTAGCTCTTCTCCTAATTCCAGGTAAGTTAATTCCTCCCCGAATGTCCCAGTTTCCTTTCAAGCTGCTGCCCAGCACTGGAGCTCAGAGGGAGTGAATCCTAGTAAGTCTATGTCTGGACCCTTTAAGAAGAGCTGCTTGGGACTCCCGCAGCTTCAATCCCTGCTGGTTTTCACAGCCCGAAGTTATGGGAACTTGTCTTCCTGGTACTGGAACCCTGGGCTGGGGGCCTGATGTGGGGCTGGGACCTCTCGCTCCTCTGGGAAACCTCCACAGCCAAGATATCTCTCTCGATTTTAAACTGCTACATGTGGGT